ATGCCGAGGGAAATGGTGCCCTCTATTTTAGAGCACCCGATTCCAGAAGAAGGGGGTGAATCTGAAGTCATTTGGACGCTCACAACATCTGGAAAATTCTCTATAGCTTCGGCATTTCGGGATATTAGGCAGGCCCGCAACAAGTCTATGGTCTTTAATACAATTTGGCATTCTCAGCTCCCTTTCAAAGTTTCATTCTTCATGTTACGATTGTTGCTGGGGAGACTGCCGGTTCCAGATCGGTTATGTAAACTTGATTTACATTTACCCTCAAAGTGTTTTTGCTGTGCTTCGGCATCTGAGGAATCAATTGAACATTTATTTTCTAATGGCCATATAGCGTCGACAGTTTGGCACTATTTTGGAGCTTCATGTGGTTTGTCCTTTCCAGGGTCATCTTTGAGGCCCCGTATAGTGGGTTGGTGGCTCAGCTCATATGATTCTGAAATACAACAATTTATTGGGCACATTCTACCCAGCATTGTCTGTTGGCAGATTTGGAAAGCAAGGAATAAAGCAATGTTTGAGGATGTTCAGATGAGGCCGCTTGCCATTTGTCGTGCCATTTTCTCGGAAATCCAGACCATGGTGGGAATTCATTTCAAACAAGTGTTCAGAGTACAGTCATTTCATCATTTGTATGATTGGTCGTATTCTTCTCATACTGAGGTTACATACAAACTTGTTCGTTGGGAAGCAAAGGAATCCGATCGGTTCATATTAAATACAGATGGATGTTCTAAGGGCAATCCAGGAGTGAGTGGAGGCGGTGGGATTCTTCGGGATTCAAATGGCATACCTTTGATTGGCTTTTCGGCATATCTTGGGGAAACTACAAGTTTATGTGCAGAGGTTCGGGCACTCCTTATTGGTCTTCAAACTTGTGTACATAGGGGTTTTCAAAATCTCTATGTTCAATCGGATTCTTTATTATTAGTTGGAATTCTTCAGAATCGCATTCAATGCCCCTGGAAGATTCGACGAGAGATTAGGCAGATTTGGCAGTTGGTGAAAGATCCTGATCGTTTTTCGCATTGCTATAGGGAAGCTAACAAAGTTGCTGATGCGCTGTCCAATGTGGGCATATTTCATCTAGAGCATCAAGTCAAGCTTTACGAGGCCTTTAATTCGTTCCCAACTATGGCTCGTGGGGCCATTCGACTTGATAGATTAGGAATGCCTTCAATTCGGAAAAGTAAGCGTATGAAGGGCTGAGAACAAAGGACAACTGGAGCTAATATGCGGTTGAATGAGACATGGAGGTTTTGTGTTTGATTTATTACCTTTTCAGTCGATTGCTGTACTTCGAATTGGTCTTTCTCAGTGTGTAAAATTTGCTCCTATCTATAAAATAAAATAATATTTAAAAAAAAAAACCTACATTTATCCAATCAAGTTTAATCCCATAGATTGGTACTATAGAAATAGGTACTAGTTTACAAACATGGGATAACAAACCATCAATTTAATAGTGTGTGCACTTTTCTCTTTCTTTTATTTATTTCCCTTCCACTGTAAATCCCGCCGACCTTGCTTTAACATGATTATGTTAATTAATTATTAAGTTACAATTGAATGAAAGTGTTTGTCTAGCATCACTATTTATTCACCGATAATAATAGTTATCCAACATGATGTACAGACACGCTAACTAAGATATCTTGTAACCATTTTCTACAACTTAGTAAGGCACAGTAAATACTATGCACATTTAGTCTAATACATATAAATTAGAATCTATACTTACACCAATTGACTTTTAAACAATCCATTTCAACTACTAGCCTGCTATTGTATGAATAGGTACTAACTTTCAAACACAAGATAACGACCACTATTAATGTTCAATGTGTGCACTTTCCTCCTTGCCTTCGTTTTATTCTTTTTTTCATTCATTGTGACATTTCTTTAACATCATTATGTTAATTGATTACTAATTTACAATTACATGAATATATTTTTCACCATCACTATGTATTCACAAAAAGTAACAGGTGTCCAACATAATGTACGAACACACTACTAATAAAAACATTTTGTAACTGTTTTATTACACTAAGTGGGTCACATTCAACAATATGTACATTCGGCCTAACACATACAAATTAACATTTATATTCATACCAATCAAGTTTGAAGTAATTTCCTTCACCTACTGCACTCCTATAGTATGATTGACTGCGAATTTTCAAACATGAGGTACTACCTATTGATGTCTAATCGTGTATGCACTTTCCTTCCTCTTCTAGCTTTTATGCATAGTCAGTAGGCCATCTTGTAATCTATCACAATTTTTTCACTTCTCTTAACTTTACTCTTAATGTATATCTCGTACTACTTCAATGTAATCGATCATAAACACCCAGTAATACTATGCACATCATAAGGCGTCCTTGCTTATCCACCCATACAGAACCAAAAAAAATTGACTTCAAAATTTCCTTGTTATTTACCAACCTAAAATCTCCCATACCCATTTAGTTCATATAATGACTATACTATTGCTATTAATGCGAGAGTTACGACCCCTGTTTATCCCCTCCTAACAACTCCTTCTACTAATTGGTTTGGAAGTTTTCCTTTTCATTTTTACAAACACTTGGTGTGCAAAATTTCTCTATACTTTACTCTCCCATATGGGCCATGAACAGATCTAATTTCTAACATCCATAGGGTTTCCACAGCCATGATATAAAATCATGGGATGCCATTCACCAAATAATGAAAATTATGTCATTGGCTTGCAATATTGTTACCTATAGGGTTTTACGTATATGCGATTGGCTATCATTGCTTCGGACTCTAACATCTTTAGCTTCATTGCTCAGTCCTTACCTTCCTCAAGCCTTTATAGATATTAGACCTCTAAGACTTTCTCTTGCAATAGGTAGTTCTTCCTAAGTGTATTTTGACTGCTCTTCTTCCATCCCTTGTCTACCGCTTTCCTACTCACAGATTGTATTTTGTCTTAGTTCTAAAGTTGTGGATGAATATTGACAACTTTTTGAAGGGAGATTAAAAAGAGTTCTTAGTTTGAAAAATTGAAATCAATAGTCATAGCGAGTCAATTTGGGCGGGATTTTGTGGAATAGAGTTTCAATGGTTGGTAATGGAGGCGTTAGAGTCACACATGTTTTTTAGTAATTTTTTCCCTGCTCACTAATCAAAACGACTCTGTTTTCTCCTCCACGGCAATTTGTAGTATATTCCTTCCTTTCTCATCGATGGTACACACAGCTTCAAGGTAGACACTCGGGATTTCCTGAGCTACCTCAATGATGCCCAGTCTTGTTGCTTGTATTAGTGGATCTGGCATCCTATTTTTTTGTTCTGATGATATCCCAAACTGGCTGCCTTAAAGATCTTTGTCCTCTGCATGCACAGAGTGGCTCCAATCTTCTCTTCTGATTAACCTTTCTGCAAGCATTAGTGCAACTGCATGTCTTTGCTTTGCATCATCAATTTCTTTAAGCCAAGGATTACCTAGAGGGCAAATACATCAAATTGGATAAACCATTAATGAATAACTCCAATGTGGGCAGATTTGGTCAGGGAGATGCAGAAATAGTACTTCAAGATCCATTACATCTCCTAGGCTTTTTCTTTTTCTTAGCATCTATTATTTTGGCACAAATCTTCTTGGTTCTTAAGAAGAAACAGTTTGAGGAGGTTCAATTGGCCGTAATGAATTTCTAGACTAGCGATTGCTTGTTTATACTTTTTACTATGACATGCCGACGAATAAAAGATGTGTGAAGTAAAAGGAAATTGAAGACAGCATGCAGGCCAAGCTGAATAGCACTTGAAAACAAAATTCTTACATTGTTTAGGCTTGAAAAAGAAACAAATTTACTCAAAGGAATAAGACGTTCTTGTAACTACGATGCTAGGCTAGACAAGGCTATGTTTCAACTCTCAAAAGAAGAATTGGGGGAAACAAAATTTTATCAACATATTCCATCATCACTAGCATGAGTGCATATGGAGTAGATTACCCTAGATAAACTTGACAATATGAGATCAGTTCAATTTATTAATGGAAGCTAAATTGCTTGGCTCTTCTGCAATATGGATAGGTCGTGATTCCTTGTACAAGACTGGAAAACCTGCCAACAGCACAATGAACTGATAATATCACTCTTTCAAAATTATGAGGGCATTTTAAGCCTGCTTCCTAGAAAAAAAACCAGCTGGCAGATAAAATGGTAGTTCAAATTGCTTCTCCAAAGATCACAAAACCATTAAACACTAAATTGGATGATTTTTAACAAGGTTTCCAAGCTAATTACACAAGCATGTCCCCCGGACATACTACACTAACAATTAGTTAAAAAATTGTCTCCTAACATCAGGGAGAATAATTATATGCATGATAAGATCTTCATGGACTTCAAAACCATATCACATTCAGCCTATTGATTATTGTTCAAATGTCTCTTAAGACTGGAAAAAGTCTTATGTTGCAACTTGCATGCGGGTAGTAATACAACACTTGCAAGAATGGATTATAGTTCAGAGTATATGCAGAGGAATGAGGGACTTTCTCCCAAGATCTTTGAGTGTGAAGGCTGAACCATTACTGAAGGACTCTGGTTTTGCAGCCAAAATAGGTAAAGTAGTTTTTCCTTTTTCATTACGTTTGCCAGAAAGATCAGGATACGACTCCAATATGCCAATTGCCAAACCTGTTGATACAATAGAGTGAAACATGTAGGAAGCAGTAAACTTTAAAAGGAGTAACATATAATGCAACAACATCCCACATCATATTCCACCAGCATAGACCTAGACAAAAAATAAGATAGCATAATCCGACAAACTGAACAAACATTCGAATTCAACAAAAAATTTGGCTGCTTTTGCAGAGGCAATCAAATTTTACTCAATAGAGAAGCTTACTGTAACATTCTCCAATTACAGCAACATGAAGGATTGTGCATCCGTCACTCCTCATCATAGAATCATCGATATGCCATCCGTCATTTCTCCTCATCATACAATCACCGATATGCTTTTCCAGAAGTGAGAAAACTTCCTTTTTCCCACATGCCGCAGCCATAAAAAGAGGGGTTTCACCCAGTTTGTTGCTCTCAGACACTAATTTGTTTTCTGTCCTTATCATGATCTCTGCAACATCCTTGTGGCCAAATCTTGCAACTTCACGCAATGCAATGTTGCCGTTGACATTCTTTGCCTTCAGATTTTCACTGGTCACAAGACCATCTTGCAGAAGTAATTTGAAGGCAGCCGCATTTCCGTGAATGGCCAGAAAATGGAGAACAGTATCACCACATTTATCTAGTGGATTCACACCTTCTTCCTTCCAAAACCTACGAAAGTTTTCTACTGACCGTCTTTTCCCCTCTAAGACAGCTCTAAAAGCAGCAGATCGATTGCTGCGATCCTCGTTGATTCTTGAGCTTGCCATTTTGGATAGGCATAAAAAAAATTTCTTCAAGATTCTTATGAGAGCGCTGTATCAAGTAAGTCATCCATATATGTAGGCCCTAAAAATATTTTACAATGTAATAAGTGGGAGGACCCGAATTTTTACTTATTTTAATCTTAATTTAATGGCTTAATTAATTATTTATCCACTCGATTTTTTCAAATAATTTATTTCAACCATTTTAGACCCAATTGCATGGAACTATGACTTGCTTATATTTTTAAAATAACTTCTTTCAAAATTTAATTTTTGAAAGCTCGTTAAGTGAAAATAATGAATATGCGATTGGAGACAATAATCGATTCGAGAATACTATAAGCATGAAAAATTGGAGACTTGTACATTAGTCTTGAAATAGGTATTTTTATGTTTAATTGTTCAATTATTAGCTAGTGATACTATCGTTATAAGAATTTCTTGGAGATTTCACTTTCTCGCGCAAGAATCGGAAGTACACGTTTTTACGCGCGCGGTTAATTGAGGAACTTAAAACCATTATTTTTAGACCAGTAAGAGTGAATAATAATAGTATGAATACAAGTGCATTAAAGGTTTAGTGCACCAGTAAAATAAACTCGAGAGGAATCGAGCACAAAACGCGTGCGTGTACGCGCGAGGAGAGAGTTGACTTTTGCTTCATTTTTTGCCACACATTAAAGCTTCTCAAGGAAGCTTCATTTTGATCAAACCACTCTCTCTCTCCTCACCAAGACAGCCGGCCATCTTGAGTTTGAAGAACAACCAAAGCTCTTCATTTTTCTTCACCAAATCTTGCTCCAATCCTTCACCATTTCACCTCAAAATTTAACCACACTTCACTAAACACTTGGTGATCATCTTAAGCTACAAAAGGGGGCTGCTTTCCATGGTTTTCTTGGGCTACGGAGGACCGAAAATTTCTGTCTTGCTCATCCAAAGAGGTAATGAACGATCAACCTCAAAAATCTTAGTTTATAGAAGTTATATTACACTCATGAGCTCTTGGATTCTCATGGGTAGCTTTAAATTGTTAGAAATTTGGTGTGTGGGCTTTATGAACTCCCACTATGGTTGGATGGACTAATGTGATGAGTTTTGATGTTATTAATGTTGGATTAGTGATTAAATTAGTGGAATTGAGTGATATTTTGGATAGAAACTCAAAGGAAGTGAAGATGAAAAATTTTCCAATTCTGCCCCTATGTTGTCCGTGACCCTTAGGGTGATTTTTCATGGTTCTAATGACTTATTTATGATGTATATATGTTGTGTGGGTTGTACAAAAAGTTTCACCAAAAAATAACGTGATTTGGTTGGCCAAACGTTGTGATTTCGGAAGTTCGACAAATCTGGAAATTCTTCCCGTAACTGCTCTGGCAGTGTTATTGTTTTGGCTATAACTTTTTGTTCCTATGTCGAAATCGAGTGCCGTTTGTGGCACTGGAAACTAGACATTCCCAGATTTCCAACGGTATAAAATGAACATTTTGATTCCACCTGAGAAGTCCGTACCAATCGTTTAAACATGACTGTCCTGTTTCACGTCTACACTGGGAGCTCTGTTTTGAGCAGTGAATGGATGCTCAAATGTGAGCTAGTTGTGGACAGATTTTGAAAATAATTTCTTCTAAGAAATTGTAGCTTTATGAATCTAGTTTTCAATGCCACTAACCACTCTCAATTCCATGTTGAATTGAGTGAGTTGTGGCCGAAATCCGAAACTGACTCAATGATTTGAAACCCTCTTTTTGGCTAGTAAATGTCTAAATCTTGATTGGGACTTGTTGTTTCGAAATTCTTGGCGTCAATCACCTACCAAACACATCTTGGATGCTTCTTAGACATTGTCTACCTAAATGAACCAGATTTAAAATGTTTCCTTTGGCCAAACGTTTAGAAAGAGAAATTTACATACAAGGCAGATTTGCTTTGGAAACTTGTGGAACTTTAACAATTTTGTTAACTGACTTTCTGTACGTATTTTTGGATGAAATTTTATAGTGGAATAACCCTCATATGGTAGTATAATACTGCCAAGTTTGGTGTCATTCCAAGTCCTTCTCGATGCCCAACAGATGTCCCCAAAGTCTGCTTTTTAAATCTGGAAAACTTTTCCCTTTCTCTTGTCCGAATGGTCAAATCTGATTTGGGGAGTTATATTTCGAAAATTGTGATGTTCATTACCTTTAAATTGCTTAGTGGATGTTTATGGGCTCTTTGTTTCGAAAATGGAGTGATTTAGAACTGATTTCATTGCACAAACTCTTGCAAGCAAAAGAAAAGTGAGAAGGCAGATTAGCCTTGAAATATTTCTTGAACTTTGGTTGTTTTAATGACTGCCTTTCCGTGGGAATTTTTGCATGAAACTTGGTAGAAATGTTGTTCACACATGGAGGATTTAGTGTACCAATTTTGGTGTATTTCTAATGCCAAATCGATGGCCAAATGATATTTCCAAGATAGTCTTTAAATCTAGAAAATGACTGAACAGTTTGCAAAATGTGACCAACTTTGGACTGATGTCTCTCGATACTCAAAATTCTGATTCCTGTTCCGCCTATTGCATTTTAAACTTTGATTGTAACTCTAATGGATTTCCAAATTGTAGAGGTTATTTCGCGTTGTGTGAATTTTTCCGAATTTCCAAACTTTGTCAAAAACCAACCCCGAAACTGTCTTGCAAGCCAAAACAGTAACTTTGAGCCAATTTTTGAATACCTTCCGTTTGGAATCATGGAAAAGTGTCTTCTAAGAACTTTTAGGACTTTCTAAGAGGTTTCCAACGGTACCAAGTTTTCTAATTTTGGACTTGTAAAGGGTGAGATACGATTTTTCAAAGATCTCGTATCAAAACTGAAATTTCCGAATCTTAAGGAAATGGAGTTTTTCGAATTCTCCTTATTCCTTTGATATTACTTGGACATTTTATACTTGATTTCAAAGATAAAAACTCAATTGCTCTTGTGTTTTAAAACCCCATCTTCGAGCCTCAATTTACGAATATTTGGGGTTCATTTTATGATATTTCCTTAGATTGTACACTAGTGCAATCTTCCTCGATAATTGAGGTTTATGAGTGACGAATCATTATTAATTACTCAGGCTCATGCGTGGACCTTCAAGAGGATCCAACGATGAACACTGGAACTTCAAGTGACTTTTCTTCTTATTTACTTGGTGAGTGTCAAGTATGTGTTAAATGCTTATGTGATTGAGATATTAGTTGTACAAGTGTTATACATGATACATAAACTTGCCGAGCCGAGTATGTACTTTATCGTAGTCGTTCTCATTTGAAATAAATGACTCATGTTTGACCTGACGTGACTTTCTTGACCTGACTTGATTTGGAAAATATGCTATGGCTGCATAAGTCGATTGGAGCGATGTCTCATCGACCTCTGAACGATAGTAAGTACCACACCGATTAGGGTGGGAGGTACCTCTCGAATCGTCTCAGAACTATAAACTGAACGATAGTAAGTACCACACCGATTCGGGTGGGAGGTACCTCTCGAGTCGTCTCAGTACCCTAAACCTCTGAACGATAGTAAGTACCACACCGATTCAGGTGGGAGGTACCTCTCGAATCGTTTCAGAACCCTAAAGCATTCTAAGTCGATTGGAGCGTTGTCTCATCGACCACCCAACGATTGTAAGTACCATACCGATTCGGGTGGGAGGTACCTCTTGAGTCGTTTCAGTACCCTAAATCATGCTAAGTCAATTAGAGCGATGTCTCATCGACCACTGAACGATTGTAACTACTACACCGATTTGGTGGGAGGTACCTCTCGAGTCGTTTCAGTACCCTAAACCTCTTAACGATAGTAAGTACCACACCGATTTAGGTGGGAGGTACCTCTCGAGTCGTCTCAGAAATATAAATAGAATACGTGAAGTGCTACGATTTAATTATCTACCCAGATGATGGAGCGTCGTTACAAGAAGGTATTGATTTGAACTTGGGCAAAGTAATTGAAAATTAGCTTTTGAGAGCTCCTGCCTCCTACTCAAGTGTGTTTATTATAAATTGTGAATTTCTTGAATGATATAATTTTCACTATTGTATAAGTGTTATTGCTATTGAATTACTTGTCTTGTATGTTTTTCTTGGTCTCACGAACATCCGCTCACCCCGTTAGATTTGTTTTCCTTAACAGGAGCTGAAATGGGAGGAATTCTGGAGAAGCTTACTTGATGCTTCACTTGATTAGAATTGTGAATGTATTTGTCTAGAATTTGATTTTTGGAAGCTGTATATTTTGGGAACGCAAAGTAATTGGGTAGATTATGATGTTTGACTTGAACGTTTATTGAGGAATTGACCTTCTTTTATCTCTTCGATTTTTAATATCGGTTGATTATTATTGAGTGTAAATTAAATTAGTACCGAGTTCTGGCGAGAGTTGGGCAGACGCTCCACCGATACCCTTGGGTTCGCCCTTGAGAGAAGTAGGGGCGTCACAATAAGCCTCTCAAATCAAATATAAGCCGCAAGGCTTTCTTGACTATCTATGAATGGGCAAAAGAATAAAAAGACAAAATAAATCCCGAAACCAGAAAATGTAATAGAAGAAACAGAACTAGGAGGTTTTTCTTATACACTCTAAAACTTTTTTTTCTCTTACATCAATAGATAAAAAATTATAATCTTTATATAAACTAACAAGTACCAAAATCCTATTGGGATTCAAACTACCAAAACATACCAGTAATAGGAAATCGCAACTAAACAACAAAATAAGTAGTTTCCTAAATAAATAAATAAATCCTAAAAACAATTGATTTAATAATCCTACATTGGCTACTTAAAATCAATGTCTTCAAGCCGCATCATGCCAAGCATCTTTTTTTAACTAATTAAGAACAACTCCACCTTCAGTGGTTTTGTGAAAATATCCACCATCTCATCTTCACCGTTGCAATAATTAATGGCAATCTCTTGATCTTGATCTAGTTCACGAATGAAGTGAAACTTGATATCAATGTGCTTGCTT